AAGAAAGAAAGGAAGAAAATTTTCATTGTAAAAATTTTCTTTCCCATCCCATTAATACCTCTGTTTAACATTCTAGATTCTCGATTGATCCTTTTCCTTGTGTGTGCATGTGTGTGTGCGTGTGTGTGTGTGTGTGTGTGTGTGTGTGCATGTGTTTGTGTGAGAGAGAAGAAAGTATGCACAGATTAAAAATAAATATGCAGTGGAGGAGCTAAGATGGTGGAGGAATAGGATGGGGAGACCACTTTCTCCCCCATAAATTCATTGAAAGATCATTTGAACACTGAGCAAACTCCACAAAATAACTACTGATCACTAGCAGAGGACATCAGACACCCAGAAAAGCAGCCCATTGTCTTTGAAAGGAGGTAGGACAAAATACAAATGTCCATCTAGTCAAAGCTAAGGTTTTTCCAGTAGTCATGTGTGGATGTGAGAGTTGGACTATAAAGAAAGCTGAGCAGTGAAGATTTGATGCTTTGAACTGTGGTATTGGAGAAGACTCTTGAGAGTCCCTTGGACTGCAAGGAGATCCAACTAGTCCATCCTAAACATGATCAGTCCTGAGTGTTCATTGGAAGGACTGATGTTGAAGCTAAAACTTCAATACTTTGGCCACCTGATGCGAAGTGCTGACTCATTTGAAAAGACCCTGATGCTGGGAAAGATTGAAGGTGGGAGGAGAAGGGGACGAAAGAGGATGAGATGACTGGATGGCATCACAGACTCAATGGACATGAGTTTGTATAAACTCCGGGAGTTGGTGATGGACAGGGAGGCCTGGTGTGCTGCGATTCATGGGGTCGCAAAGAGTCAGACACAACTGAGCGACTGAACTGAACTGACTGAAGTTAGAAATCGGGGTTTCAAGGTAGTATTTATTTCACAATGCTGGATATTAGAAATAAATTTAAATTGAATAAATTCACTTTAAAATATTTTCTACATAAAACAAATCTTTATTCTCTAGACTGAAATATGGGGATATATAAATAAAAATTTTGATATGTAATGCATATTGTTTAATAGCTACAATTCTACTTTTCATTACAGTATTTAGGAAATGTTCTTAACTAAGATGTTCAAGTATAATAAGCCCAGAGACTCCCAGGAATATAATTATCTGGTTTGTTTTGAGTCAGACTGTCTGGAGTTAGTCTAGTGTTTTAATAAGGTCTACAGGGATTAGAACTAGTAAATATATGAATTATGAAACTTCTAGTCAACCAGAAGAACATAAGAAGGAAAAAAAAAACACTAAATCATGTGGGAAATTTGAATATCCCTACAGGACTGTAGAATATTTACAACCATAGCAAATGTAGGTTTGAAAAACAGGAAATATAGGGTACAATCAAGAGAGGTTTTGCCACCAAAGATTTAAAAAATACCATTTACTTCTCAACACGTAAAGTTTCTCAACAGAAATAGATAGTCATCTACTATAGCAAAGTGGAAAAAAATTGTATTGCAATGTTTTGACAGACACCACAGATCATTTTAAAATGTGATCTTTTAAGCTTAGCTATCTTAGAAAATAGTTACTTTTCCCCTAAGAAACTTTCCATATGTATCTAATGATAATGTTTCTCCATCATTTATAATTGATTTTATTAATACTAATTTTTTGGTACTTAACATTGTAAATTGTGATTGTCGAGAAGTGAGTTTTTCTCTAGCCAAACTGAAAATGATTTTATCAAAAAAAGTAAACTCACTGGACAGAGTCTGGTTCCAGGTCCACAGTTCCAAATTAAACAGAGGCTCAAAGTAAAGGCAAAAAGAAAACAAGTCAAAGGAAAAACATTTGATAGAGAAAACGTATCAAAACCAAAGACAAAAGAAATTAACCCCAACCCCAGAATTGGTTTAGAGAGCTTACTGTTGGAATTAAGTTGTCTCACTGCATATTAGGATAGAGAGATCCATCTATAAAAAGAAAGCTAAAAGGTGATTTTATGAAGCCTAGATAAAGCAGCACTGCCATATAGTTTAACATTTTTCCAGCATGTAGTTGAAGGATACCTGATTAGCTGTCAAATACCTCCTAACTCCCTTTCCTTTCCTATAGTTCCTACACATTAATTTCCCTTGCAAATATGATGAACAACTCATGAACTTCAACCTCTTTGGCAGCTAAATTTCTCATTGTGATTTATGAAATCTTATTTTCTATTACAACCAATTCCATGTGAGTTTAGGTCTTGCATGACTCCTCCAGGGGCTGCATTATTTCTGTTAAGACTCCATACTCTCCTAGATGGAGACCAGGCCCTGACAAAGGTGTCTATGGCCTGGCTTGCCCTTGGGAGGGATCCAAATTGAAGTGTCTATTTCAACTCCAGTGTTGAGGGTTATAATCTCCATTGTATTTGTGAGTGGATTCAGAGCACAATTCCCATTAGAACTGACCAAAGTTATTTCTGGTACCATATTTATTTATATAAGTTGTAAAAAATGCCTAAAAACATGGAAGTCAGTTTGTGTTGTTATTCGGTCGCTCAGTCATGTCCAACTTTTTGCGACCCCATGGACTGCAGCACACCAGGTTTCCCTGTACTTCACCATCTCCCGGAGTTTGCTCAGACTCATTGAGTTGATGATGCCATCCAACCATCTCATCCTCTATTGTCCCCTTCTCCTCATGCCCTCAATCTTTCCAAGCATTGGGGTCTTTTCTAATGAGTCAGCTCTTCACATCAGGTGACCAATGTATTGAAGCATCAGTCCTTCCAATGAATATTCAGGGTTGATTTCCTTTAGGATTGACTCCTTGACTGATTTCCTTTAGGTGTGATCTCTTTGCTGTCCTAGAGACTCTCAAGATTCTGGTTCTAACTGGTGCTTCTTGACCTGCATATAGGTTTCTCAGGAGGCAGGTAAGGTGGTCTGATATTCCCATCTCTTTAAGAATTTTCTACAATTTGTTGTGACCCACACAGACAGAGGTTTTAGTCTAGTCAATGAAGCTGAAATACATGTTTTTCTGGAATTCTCTTGTTTTTTTCTATGATCTGGAAAAACCCAAATGAACTTTTTGGCCAACCCAATACATGAACCTAAGCATTGTTCAACTAACTGAGCCAACAGCCTTAGTGTTATCATTGGTTTTAGGTTTAAAGCTAAAATATATATATATATTTTAAACAGGGGATGTGGGAGGGTGTACTCTATTGTTTCTTACTTAGAATATAAAAACTGCAACTCCCAAAATATCTGTCATATTATCTGGGCTTCCCTGGTGGCTCAGAGGGTAAAGAATCTGCTTGCAGCACAGGAGACCGGGGTTTGATCCGTAGGTCGGGAAAATCCCCTGGAGAAAGGAATGGCAACCCACTCCAGTATTCTTGCCTGGAGAATCCCATGAAGAGAGTCTGGCGGGCTACAGTTCATGGGATTACAAAGCTGGACATGACTGAGAGACTTAACACGTTCATCTTCATTATCTTGAAAAGTCTTCTCATTGAATGGATAAATGACTTGTCTATACTCACCTTTAATAGTCAAAATGTGACCTTTGGAGAACATGAAATACAAAGAGAAATCATGTTCATTATATAAACATAGGGTATTCAAATATTTATTTTACTATAGGGAGTGTAATCAAGAAAATAACTGAATATTCATCTTCCAGATTAAATAACAATTTAGGAAGGAATGTTTCATAGTTTACCCAAAGTAAAACAGTACATTGGGTATATTTTTAGATTTTATTATCTTTAATGAACTGTTTAACATTTTTACAAATCTTCAGATTTTTAACAGTTTCCAGCAGTAAATATAGTAGTGATGGCATAAATACACTGAAATGTGAGATTCCTCTGATGAGAGAATACAAAAGATAGAAACACCTGGAAACAGAGGGCAAAACGTCAACTCTAGTTCTGAGATGGAAATTAACATAGTTAAATTCTTTACAACTCTAGTACGTGGAGAAATGAGTAACTCATTCCCTATAAATGAACATGTAACTTTGAGCTTCACCTTCCTGGAAGTTTTGAGGGGCATTATTGGACCCAAAGATCCCCAAAACTTTTATGTATTGATACCAGAGGATTCAAACATACAGAAAGTGATCTGAAAATGATTGCCAAAGCAAAGAAGTGCTTTTATTCCTCAACATTTGTGACCTTCGTGGTATATACTGTGTATTATAAAAGGGCATAATCCCTATACAATTGCATAAATGTCATACAAATGGATTTTACAAATTCAAGATCATATGTATTCAAAAATACATATAGCTGTGCTTTAGTAAATGAATCCATCAGTTCATTGAGGGATAATTTTGCTTTTAAGTTATATCCAAAGTATATACAAAGGATCCACAAATGTTAACAATTTGTGACTAAAATTCTCAAGGTTTTCATTTGCAAAAAACTGTGGTGGTTTTCAATTTAAAAATTTTAAGAAAGTTGTGAATATTGCCGGTTTATTATCACTTGGGTTAAGAAAAAGTAGATGGCTTCAGCTCTTTAACAGGAAATTTGTGAACTACTCACAAATGAGAAGTTACACATTTTGGATCATTAGAAAAAGATAAATTACCTATACTTCCCAATTGAGAACAGAATGTGCAGTGTATAAAAAAATAAGGTTTTATTCTGAAACCAATAAAAGTATTTCTAGAAAAGCCCTTGGGGATACATCTTCTCATTTCCTTTTCACAAGAATGAGTAAGTGGCATACCTTAATGGCACACCCTTATATCAAAGTGTGTATTCCATTACCAAGATGAGAGACTGAACATTTTTAAGGGTGGGAAAAATATACACTTAAAATGTCAAAGTTCAGTATATTACTATATAGTTTCTAACTTCATTCCAACCTAGATTGAAAAAAGAATACACAAAGAGATGTTACTGGCATGCAAAATTCATTGTTCCAACGTGAAACACTAGATCTATATTTTTAATAAAACTGCACATCTGTTTAATTTGGCTAACAGAAAGAAAATGCACATTTAAGAAAGATGTTATCATATCCTTCTAATAAAGCAAGTCTATATCAAAGGCACTTCAGCAGAGCACTAACTCCTTAACCTTTTCCAAATCATTTTCATTTACGTCACCTTTAATACATCTTTCTGTGTAAAACCAGTAAGAAACTGCCTCTAATTTTGGACCTTATCACCCCTCCCTCAAAAAAGTAAATGTAGGTATTAACCAAAACATTTCTCTCTTCTATGGATTGGGGTAGAATATAGCAAACCTTTACCTAGATCTTTAAATTCTTTGGGTTAATACAGAAAGGAATGTTATCTGACAATTACATGCTTCAGAAATGGTTACAGGAAAAACCTGGCTGAAGTCTACTGTCTTGGGGGAAAAGCTGTTGTCTTTTGCTGTATATCTATCTACAGTTTGACTGAAGCTAATGTGGTTAATTTTAGTTCTTACAACTTGTTTATGTGCCTTGGGTCTCTATGTTGCTCTCATCTTAATTAGTAGTGCATGAGAAATAAAGCAATTTAGTTTCATTTCCCCCCACCCCCCCAAGGAAAAGGGTAAGCTGCTTCAGACATTTGCCTTTATGGAAATTTTAAGAAAAATGAGATGAGTTGATTTTAATTAACAAAGTTTCATTTTTAGGACATGTATGATAATTCAGAGTTGAAAGCACTTAAAATTGAAAATGGCTGTTGAACGTGTTCACACTAATTCTCTGCTATGATGAAAAGAATATATTACTTCCAAATCTGGAAAAAATGTTATATAAGTTAAAAGCATTTAAGTGATTTAAGAAAAATCTTTTACTTCTCCTGTGAAATTGAAACTGTTGTTCCCAAACATTTTTTAGAATGTCAGCAATAAAGAAATCTGGATGTATACCTGGGATCCTGAAGATATTCTTGAATCTCAAGAGAAATGGCATGTTTTTTCTGCTTGACATTTCAGAAAAAATTGAAATGTTTATTTCCTTTAGCTCCACATATTTTAAGTTTGGATGTTTATAAGAAATTTTCAATTCATTGATTTCTTAAAATCAAGTTTAATAGTTTAAGTGACTATTTTTTGAATAGAAGAAATATCTTAAAACGGATTTCAGTCTGTATGTATCAGTGAGCCTTAAAGATTGGGGAGGCGGAGGAACGATTTTCTTTTTAAAGACTGGTAAAAATTTTTCTTGACAGCTAAGCTCATTTCCCTTTTGGTGATGGGGAAGGGGGTAAGAAATTTTTAAATAAAAATTCAGTATCAGAACATTCATTTCTCAGATTTCTAGATAAACTAACACCTTTTTATTCTGTGAAGTTTTATCTAAAAACAACCAAAGAGCTGGCATTTCCCTCTCTAACAACCAAGTAGCTTCTTGCCCATTTTAGGTGAGTATGGAATTTACTTTTGGGTTGATACAATATACATGCTGTTTAAAAATGAAAGAAGATGTGGTTTGGCCTTTGAACTCTAGAATAACATCAATCCAGAACATTTATCCAGTTATTTTCAAGTATATGCAGTGGAGAATATAATAGTAACATTTCACGAGAGTAATACAGTTTCATTTCTAAATGTTTCACAGGGGTTGTCAAAGCAGAAGCAATATTTTTGAAAGCAACTTTAGGAGTATACTTTTCACTGTTATTCTTCAGAGTCAGGGCTCAACTTGATGACTGAGCAACAATTTCGGATACTATTTTACATTTTGAACCCTCAGATACTTCAAATTCATCACCCAAAAATAAATAAATAAGCATAGGCCAGAAAAAAGCATTTCTTGGTATCTTTCTCACTACTGAATTACCATTTCACTATTTACTCTGCTTGAGACATGTCCAGGGACCATGAGATTGCTCAGTCTCAGCTTCTTCAGAAGTTCACACAGCAGTTTACAATAAAAAGCAAGAATAAACAGCACAAGACAACAGACACAACCACTCTTGGTGTTAATTTATGGGAATCAGTGGGCGTTCCTCTCGCTTCTTCCAGATGTTAGTTTTGCTCTCTCTCTTGGCTAGTGGTGGTGGTCTGCCCCTTTTCTTAGTGGGGGATATATTGGCTTCAAACTCTTCAGCGGTGCTTTTTCTTCCTGGGGACTCTTCCCCAGGGTGCTCCATGATAGCTGCACTCCCTCCATCTAGGATGTGCCTTAAAGCTGGGTCCTCTGGAGAGCAGACAGTGGTTCCACTCTCACTACTGCTCAGGTCTAAGTCTTCTAAGTAAAGGATCTTAGGCTGATGCATGCTTTTGATGAACGTTTTCTCCCTCTCCAGTTTCCTACTTGAGTGGTGCTCATTCATGTCCACCCCAGAGTCCAGACTCGTGTCATTGCTCTGGGCTCTCTTGCCCTTTTTCAGGTCTATGAAGGAGTGCCTCACCTGTGCGACCGGCTTTCCATCAAGAGACACAAACCAGGCTCTGGGGTGGGGGGAGGGCTTTCCTTTGGACAGTTCTAGGAGGGTCTGTTCTGAAATTCCTTGAAGCTCTGATGAAAAGGGAGTCATTACAACAGCTTCATTTAGTGTTCCAGGGACAGAAACAGATTCGAGGAGGCTGTTTGAATATCGGCTCCAATCTGAAGTTTGGGATGGCAAACTCTGTTGACCTTCCAGTGGGATATTCTCTTCCCTGGCATCTGGGGGCTGGGCATGAGAATGCATTGGCATTTTCGGTAATGTCTGTGTAAAGTTCTCTCTATTTACTGGCTCCATCAGTTGGCCATAGACTAACTGTCCCTTTCTCGGCAGAGTAGCTGACTTAGCAGGATGCAACTGCTCTGGAGTGGGGAAGAGGTCAGATGTTTGAAGGATGGCTATGGGCTGGCTGTAGATGTGCATGATCTGTTCTGGAATGTGGGAATGCCCATATGCCTCTTCATTACCTGTGAGATACCTCTTTTCCTCTTGCGTATCACCTAGAGACGAAGACATATTGTTGTTAACATGTTTAAGTTGTTTGGACCCTACATTGGGCTCCAAAGACTGTGCTGGGTTTCTGGAGTAATTATTTTGATTAACTGACAGAAATGAAACATCTTCGTTGTAGATTTTTAAATTATCCCGAGTTTTCACCATGGAAATTCTTTCTTCTGCTTCCACCTTGGATGATTCCTTTTTCGGAGGGCTGTACGAGGAGCTTTTGGCATTGAATAACTGTGATTTGTCCTCAGTCTTTAATGCAACTTTGACTGAACTGATGTGATTTATGTGAGTTGTTGAAGTTGTCTGGTCTCTCTTGAGGACCTCAAGTTTAGTGGTATTTCTTTCTCTTTTCTGTGGAGTACCACACTTATCCCTAGAGTAGAAGAGAAGGCAAAAAAAAAAAAATGTTTCAAACTTATCTAGAAGGTTTCATTTTAAAAAAAAATCTGTTTATTTTATATATATATATATATAAATAATGCTACTGTTAAAATATATCCATTTTTATTTTAATTTATATTTTAAATATCAAACCATTGCTTTCTACAAACTTTGTAATACACAGAACTTACATGACACTAAAATCAGACAGTTTGTGTTCACACTCATTACTATTGTTCTTACCTGCAATAACAAAGAAGTACAGCAAAAAATCCAATGACAATGACTATTGTTCCTCCTAATATGGCTGTGAGAAATACTGTGTGGTAGGCAGTTATGTCCTTTGAATCTCCATTTATACCTGACCCTAAGTAGTTCAAAATAAACAAAGAGAAAATATATTACTTTAGGTCAGACTTTCAACTGTGTCCCATCCTGGGTGAGGCAGATTAAAGATGTGTACAGAGGTCTATTAATTTGTTCCCCTCCCATGGCAGGCTTCTCTGTGGATGGAAAATACTTTCCCTACCCCTGTTAGGCTTAATCAGTTGACTTGCTGTGCCCAGTGAAATATGAACACCTTAAATGACTCTGTATAAATTGCCTATCCTCTGCTAAGGTCTTCTATTAAGTGAAAAGTATATCCTAAAGTTTTGCTATTCTTTTAACCTAGGTTCTGGAATGAGAAAATAATCTTAAAATTGAACCAGGTCAAGCCCAACAGTCACAAAATGAAAGCAACAAATAGAGAGCAGGCTTATTTGTTACTGATGGCTGAATGTTACAGAAAATGGTACCAAGATGCTAAAGTGCTGCTGTTACAAATCTTAAAATATGTGACACTGGCTTCCAAGTCAAGCAGTAAGGAAACTGTTGCAGGAGGTAGTAAAAATAGTGACTGAAGTTATGTGGTAGCAAAATGTTTGCTGGAATAAAAAATATTTCTAATGAGAGCTTTGTGCAAAGAGGTTTTGAGATAGAATGTAGTAAGCGTTGATATTAGCTGCATTCAATTTAAAAAGAAAATTTAAAGATAAATTTTAAAATAATTTGCTATAGTAAACAGGGGTGAAAAGGCCAATGAGAATGCAAAAATTAGGGGCCCTGAAAAATCAAAAGTTGTAACTCCTTCAGACAGGACTCTAGAATAACATGGCACCATGATCCCCATAAGCTAAGCCCAGCAGAAGCACAGTGACCCATTATTCTTCTTTATGAGAAAACATATATACAATGTTGTGGTAATTACTTTGTCGTTTTTGTACAGTTGCTAAGTCATGTCTGACTCTTGTGCAACCCCATGGACTGTAGCCCGCCAGGCTCCTCTGTCCATGGGATATTCCAGGCAAGAATACTTGAGCAAGTTGCCATTTCCTTCTCCAGAGGATCTTCCTAACCCCAGGGTCAAACCTGCATCTCCTCCATTGCCAAGCAGATTGTTTACCACTGAGCCACCAAGGAAGCCCCTGGAATTGGCTTAACTGCAGTAAAAGCAGACTAAGCGTGCGGATGATCAGTGGAGGTTCTGAATACTCTGCATGAAAGGAGATGCAACTTACCTTGAGGTGATGTTTCAACATCACTAGGACTTAATTTTGCTCAGAAATGTATACAACAAGTCTACTGATTAGTCTCAACTGGATTCTAATGTGTATTTGGGGTGATGAGACACCTGATTTTCTGCTCATCTCAACCATAAGAAAAAGTCCAGCATGAGGCTTTCAACTTCACCAAGGACGCTGGAAAGACTAAGGACACATAAAGACTTAGACCCTTTAACTTTTACATCATCTAAGTTGACTAAAGTATAGTGACATTAAAGGATTTGGGGAGAAGCAGTGTTTTGTTTATGCATTCAGACTTCAAAGCCAGAATGCCTGAACTGGAATCCTGGCTTCGCCCTTTCTGTGTGGTGTTGGGCAAGCTTCATTCACTTATGTCTCAGTTCACAGCTGTCATACTTGTTACAACGATTAAATAAAATATTGACAACAGTGTTTAGCACACGATAAGCACTCAGTAAATGTTGGCTATATTATACCACTGTTGTTAAATGAAATGTCAAGATTAAAGAAGAACGGGCACTCCAGTACTGAATACTCTCTTAACTGGTAACAGATAATAAAATGTTTATCATATTGAGTAGGCAACCAAGCCCAGCATCGCACAATATGACATTTCTTCAAAGAAAAAAGATAAGAGTAACAACTCTATCCGTAGATTACTATTTATGATCCAGAGCTGCAACACAGTAAATAGTTAGACTTAACTGGGTGAAATTCAAGTTCTTCTCCAGAGCATATCTGAATATACATTTTCACAACTGAGTAATGTAAGCCATTTTCACTCCACAGAATTCCAACAGAACTCACCTTTGGAATTAAGAGGCTGACACTGTTATATCTGTCCCAAATCTTAAGTGTATGACAAGAGCAGAAAAGCAAACAACTGCATGTGTGTATGTTAGTGTGTATGTGCATGCCCAAGAGAGGTTAGAAAGTTAGAAAATTACAATAAATTTTCATTCTGATATTTGAAAATTAATGGTACTTGTTTGATTCTATACTCAGCTATCTACTTACCTATAATAATATGTGAAAAACTAAGTGATTTTAATTTCTTGCACTTAATATTTTTTCAAGGAATTCTAGAAATTGGTTTAAGATTTATTTTAAAAACATATTTAGTAATATCATTAACCAAATTATAGCTTCAGCACACCAGACATTAACTAGCCCATCACAGAACCAGTTTAATTTCACAGTAACATTTGCATCCTAAACTGTTTAGGGACATGAGTGATACTCATATCCAACTCCTGCAATTTAGAAAAAGGAAAACTAATACTCAGATGGGTAAGGACCCATTTCAAGCTCACCCTGTTAATTACTGTTAGAGCCAGAACTACAATCAAATTAAAGTTATCCATATTTCTCATATGGACTTTTCAAAAGCATAACTAGAAATTATCTAATAATCCTACATTTCTGTTAGTACTCTGATTCACACAAAGTTGTTTCCAACATAAAAGCTAAAACAAAACTTCTATTTCATAAAATTATTTAAGCTTTTATAATTCAGTTATCTTGCATAAAAGGTATATTTTTAGTGGAAAGCACATTTCTCTGTAAAACTCAAGTGCTCCTGAGGTCATTTTTATCAGAAATGAAATAACTTGGATTTAGTTGAGTTGGAGTATTAAATATTAATTGTTCTTTTTCATCAATATTTTATAGTTGCAAAGTTAGAATAGGATAAGATCAGACAGCTGGCAAGACTGCATGATATTTTGCACCATAAACAACAAAAGCAATCACCCTCTGGTTTCTGAATAAACAAACTCATAAGCACTACACTGAAACAAAAACAGAACATTCCTCATGATTATAATGGTTAACAGCTCATATTTCTTCTACTGGAATACTCTATTTTAGCTTCATTTTTGAAACAAAGTCTTGTTACCTTGCATGGTTTAAAAATCAAAGGTTGTCAAATGTAAAATGAAAATAAACTATATAAAAAGTTTCAAAAAACTCAAAAGCTGTCAAATAGGCAGCCATAACAAAGTTAGCCGATACACTGCTACTGAGAAATGGATGTAAAATGTTATCCGTATCCTGGATCAGGGCATGCACCAGGACTATCACTGAATAGCATGAAACAGCCAGGCTGCAGCTGCCTTTCAGCTGGAAGCCAAGACACTAGCTAAACCAAAAGAATTACTTCTGACACAATTAAAGATGAAGGAGGGACATATGCATTCAGCTTTTACACTTTCCCTAAACTTTACAAAAATGACACTGAAAGTTTTGCTCTGTCTTGTTTTCATAAATACACATGTCCACAGGTTTGAGGAGAATGAGAACAAAGACAGGGGCAACAAGATGCTGACAGCTGGCGAGCTGACTTAGCAGAGCAGGCAGCAGGGAAAACCAAGAAGCAACTCAACTTATACCAGCAAACACCCAGGAGGCCTAACGAGTGGTTGCTGGCCCACAGTGCAGCCAGTCTATATGACAGCAGGTTACAGTATTTCTTTTTTTAAGATGACTTAATGGATGAGATATGCAATGTTTGAGAATTGAGATATTTACACAACTCAAGATGTAGGATTTCTAAGTACAAAGTATACAGATAGATTGATAACCATGTTAATTGATACCAGTTAAATGAGGAAAAATGAAACACTTATTTCTCCTAGAATATAAAACCATTCCTAGCACACAGCTCTTGGTTTTTGCCCACCTTCTGTTCATATGTCAAGCCAATCTTCATTTGGGCCATCACCTGTCTTACCCTACGAACACTAGGGACACTATTCAACAGTCCTTCCTCCTCCCCACCACACCCCCACCAAGGAAAACGCTCATGATCTAAGTCTGAAAATTCTTCATCCCTAGAAAGATCAGGAACAGTGTGAGGAAAAAACTGCAAAGGGTTAGGATCAGCTACCTTGAAGCAGCAGTCTTCCAAAGACAGGAAGCAGGTCTGATAACTGGGTCCTCTAGGATTCCTGCCTTTTACACTCTGCCTTTTCAGCCTTCCCTAGGATCCTGCCAACTCCTGGTATCCTAATATATGTTTCTAATTATCCAACATCTGCTCCTGTTGTTTGCAATCAAAAGCTCTTAACTGATCTGGGTAGAATTCATTCATAAAAAGCAAACTAAGAAAATTCTTGATTTGAATAAACTTTGTACTTCAGATTCATCAGGTATTACAGTTGTAAAGGACCCTAGAGTTCATGGAACTTAATCTTTCCCTATAAATCTGGAAAACATGAAATAAAGCTGAGATCAAGAGACTAGAAGCTTTTTCCAGTGTAATACAGTAAGTAGCAATGCTTAGAATAAAATGGGAAACTAATATCAGTTTCAGCATGACTATTTGGATTTTTTTAAGTTTATATTGTTTCATTTTTACCATACCTCTAGTTCCTGGAAGTGGAGCTGCTATCCAGTAGCCCAAATGTGGTGCATCATATGTCCAAATTAAATGACTGTTATATTCCTTGACCATTCCCTGGCCATGATTTACCCACGCACCTAAAAAGGAAGGCAAATAAAAAGTACTAATCAGTTAGCTTATATATCTTGAATGCTAATAGGAGTTTGCTGATAGTCATGCACAGAATACTTTGTAGGATATTTTCAAAGATGAAAACTGTGACAATATATTTTCATAGGATAATATATATATCATAATATATATTAAATAATTGATTTGTTATGACCAAAGGATACAAAATAAATATAAACTTTACATCATATATAAAATCTATATAAATTTTATATAAATATAAAAAGGGTATCTACTTAGGGAAATCATATTCTCCAAATAATGTCTACATTGTTTATATTAAGATATGTCTTAGTAAGAATGTAATTAAATCCAAATTTATTGACAGATGGTTGTTACCTGCTCTGGGGTTCTGATTAAATGCTCATAGTGTGTGTTTTATAACCTTATTAATATTTTTATTAAATGCTGTTTTGTTCTAATACTGTTGGCATGATTCTTTTAGAACTAAATGTCTTAAAAAAGTGCTATTCTGATTCAATTAAATATCAACCACAGAAAAAAGAATTCAGTAAAACCAGTATCTTTTATGAAATCCAGCATTACAAAGCTTGTTTATAAGTTTGGTCTAGGTTTGTATTTGTTTTACTGATCATTGTAATGATGTATATAGACAAACTTGAAATTACGGGAGTGAGTCAACCTGCTTTTTGAATAGTCACATTAAACTTAAGCAGTACATGTGATGAATCAATTCAAAAATTCTGCCACTGGAAGGTACATGAGAAACAGGCTTTTTTCAGGAGAAACAATCAGAAAGCAGAACTCAAAGCAGATATTCTTCTTTAAAGTGTCTTGAAACAATTCTCTCATTCAACAAGTCAGGGGATTGAGGCCAGAATAAGTCAAGTGACTTGTTCATCATCATATTGCTGGTAAATGGACCAGGTCTTACAGCTTTTAATCCAATGTTTTACAGTACTATACCACTGTGACTTATAATAAGACATTTTTATATATGGTCTTAAATCCCCAGACAGAGCTCCTAAAACCTTGTAATTCCCTATGTGATAAGATCCATAAAGGTGGAAAGACTGTCTTTTCTTGTTGACAACAAGCCAATTTCAACCATGTCTGAGTTTATGTGTTTTGTTTTTTTTTTTGAGTTTATGTTAATGAGGTGAACTTTGGAAAGTCCCAGTGGATGGGGGCTGCTTGCCAGGGGAACCAACTGCACATATCTTTCATCCCCACCCCCACACACCCCTGTAGAGAAGGGAGAGGGGCTGGAGCTTGAATTCAATTGTCATTGTTCAAAGATTTAATCAAGTGTGCCTACATAATGTGACCTCCATCAGTCCCTGAACTGCAGGGTTCAGAGAGCAGAGCTGGTGAACACGAGGAGGTGCTAGGAAGGTGATGCACCCAGAGGAGAGAGCACTGAAGCTCCAAACCCCTTACCCTGTGCATCTCNTTCTTTATCATCCAACTCTCACACCCATACATGACTACTGGAAAAACCGTAGCTTTGACTAGATGGACCACTGAAGGAAATTTTAGGACACTTAGCTCATGTTGGAGGGTATAAGAAAAATACCCTCACATTTGGTGACCAGAAGTGAAACTTTTGAGTGCAGAATAGAGTTGAAAGAAGAGTTTGTCCCTTACAACTACCTTTGTTACTTGCATAGTTTCCAGGCTTTTTAAAATAACATATCTGTTTTTACCTTCTGTAGTGAGCGTGTTTGTGCCTCACTACATACCTTTTCAGGTTCAATGAAACCTCAATTCCAAATCTCTTTGAGAACACACTGCTACCTCTTAGTCCGCATGATTAGTTTAGGGCTCCAATCCCAGCTCCAACACATGACTTAAGCCTAAATAAATCTATGAAATCTATTTGCAGGCCACAGACATTTGTTCTGAGATGGGCATGCAAACCTCCTTCTAGAAATGCAGTGAATCCAAGGGCTTGTGTACTAGGAGAAGAATTTCTCTACCTTTTGGACTTTAACCTGGGCAGTAGAAAGTGAGAGCACCTACAGCCTTCCAGCCACTCCAAAGGGAAATCCTATTTCAGAAAGGTTATTAACACAGAAAACAGATGAGAGAAAAAACAGGTCCTACAAATCAGTCTAGTCTGTGTATCATGACTTAATCCAACACAGTTCTATCCCTAGGCTTTTCAGTTGTGAGGGATTGATCATCTTTTTTTGTTTGTTTTTTGGTAAGGATGCCCGCCTTATTTACATGGAAAAACAAAACCAAGAGAAGCAGAAGAGAAAAATGCTATTGAGGAGGTTAATCTCAGGAAACAAAACTGGTACCAAGGTGTTTTTTTGGAAAATAATCACTCTTTCTATCTTCATATATGTATATATGTACAGACATATATAGAGAATACAATGTGATTTATTTTCATGAAATTTGCATATATTTATTAATTGCTTTAGCCAAGCTTTTAGATATAAGTTTATATTGCCTATGAATCCACCTGCAATGCTGGAGACCCCAGTTTGCTTCATGGGTCAGGAAGATCCCCTGGAGAAGGGATAGGCTCAGTATCCTTGGGCTTTGCTGGTGGCAAGAATCCACCTGCACTGTGGGAGACCTGGGTATGATCCCTGGTGTGGAGACCATCCCCTGGCGGAGGGCATGGCAACCCACTCCAATATTCTTGCCAGGAGAATCCCCATGGACAGAGGAGGCTGGCATGCTACAATCTGTGGGGTCACAAAGAATTGGACACAGCTGAGCAACTAAGCATTAGCACTATCGTAACAAAAACGCATAAGAGCCTCAAAATATAAAACATGGGAATGTGAGTAAATAATGCTATTTTTAAATAATAATGATATTATTTTCCCTACAATTTTATTATACTAATCAAAGTGGGGCCACTTTTGGTCACTGCTAAGGTGCTTAAAATTATAATATTACTGATTTAGTGCTCTACTAAAGATAAAACATTCATCAGTTCAGTTCAGTTCAGTCGCTCAGTCGTGTCCGACTCTGCGACCCCATGAATCACAGCACCCCAGGCCTCCCGGTCCATCACCAACTCCCGGAGTTTACTCAAACCCATGTCCATCGAGTCAGTGATGCCATCCAACCATCTCATTCATATATAAATATTAATGTTTAAACAGTAAGGTATATTAAAATTTAATATCCTGTGTAAAATAGAAATTTGTCAATTGTACCTTAATAAAGCTGAGATATTTTAGTAACAATAGAAACCTATTTCTAAGATAAACATTCAAATATTCAAAAAATTAAAACATGGGAATGTGAGTAAATAATGCTATTTTTAAATAATAATGATATTATTTTCCCTACAATTTTATTATACTAATCAAAGTGGGGCCACTTTTGGTCACTGCTAAGGTGCTTAAAATTATAATATTACTGATTTAGTGCTCTACTAAAGATAAAACATTCATCAGTTCAGTTCAGTTCAGTCGCTCAGTTGTGTCCGACTCTGTGACCCCATGAATCACAGCACGCCAGGCCTCCGGTCCATCACCAACTCCTGGAGTTTACTCAAACCCATGTCCATCGAGTCAGTGATGCCATCCAACCATCTCATTCATATATAAATATTAATGTTTAAACAGTAAGGTATATTAAAATTTAATATCCTGTGTAAAATAGAAATTTGTCAATTGTACCTTAATAAAGCTGAGATATTTTAGTAACAATAGAAACCTATTTCTAAGATAAACATTCAAATATTCAAAAAATTCAAAATATTCAGAACCTTTTCCCATAGTTCACATACCTGTGTTCATATCAAATGTCCAGGCAGGTATGTGATCCCCTGCACTCACATCATTTGTATGTAGAAGAGGAAGAGAAATTTGAATAGAGCCATCCACCTTTAATTCTTTTCCTCCAGAATATATTTTCACACATATTGCAGCAAGAGGAGTTAATTCAATGCTTTCAAAACCTAAAAACAGAAGACAGTTCATTAAAATCATATGGAAAGCACAAACTACAGTTATATATTAACAACAAACTAATATTGGCCTAAAATATCTACTTCCTCTATTTCAACCAGAGTTAACCAGTGTAATACCAAATAGATACTAGATTCTATTTGAGGATCTTTAAACTATAAAATATATCATAAGTAAATGCTATACTTATGTAACACTGAGACATCATGTTATGAGTCTAATGATCTAATTCTCTCAGACTCCTCTGATTTAATGTCACTGGAATCTAAAAGTCAGTATTTTTTTGTCTTTAACTTTCTATTTTACATTGGAGTATAGTTGGTTAAAAATGCAGTGATAGTTTCAGGTGTACATCAAAGTGATTCAGTTATACATATACATGAATCTATTCATTTTCAAATTCGCTTCCCATTTAGGTTGTTAACTAATACTGAGCAGAGATCCCTGCGCTATCCAGCAGGGTCTTTGTTGGTTATCCATTTCAATAATTTGATGTTTTTAAAAACCTACAAAACCATCAGGAAGGCTGCCTCTCTGTGAAGGAGACATTTGAGCAGTGGCCAAATGACAGGTGCCATCCATGCAGAGACCTCAGAGAAGAGCCTTCCAGGCAGAAGAAACCAGGGCAAACCCCCCAAATCAGAAGTGATCTTGGCAGGTGTAAGAAGGAAGATGAGAGCGAAGAGGGAGATGGAAACAGCGTGAGGCCATGGGAAGGAATTCTAATTATCGCCGCCACCGAATCTGGTAATCTATCTTCAGTTATCAGACAGGGCAACCACTGGCTTATTGGAGATTTTCTGTTAAATATAAGAGATTTAACCTTTATAAATGTTCTAAAATTCTATCCATAAGATAAGCGAAGTAGTGCCATACATATTCTGTAGAATAGTTACACTGGTAAGTAATGTACTGTAAAAAGTACTATGTAATCTGTAAGTAATCATATCTCATATCAAACTGTAAAACCAGCTGGCTTTCTTAACTCCACCCCTCGGTTCTGTGCAGTCAGTAGCTTCAAATACTGAATGCATCTGAAACTGATGAGGTCAACACCCCACCATTTGGAATAAGACCAACTAGAAGAAAAGGAAAAAAGAGTCTGAAAGACAATGAGGAGACTTTAAAAAAGCATTTTCATATTCATAGAACTCTAGAACTGTGCAATCAGTATATTAGCCATGAGCAACATGTGGCAATTTCAAGTTAAATGAAATTACCAATTTAGATCCTCAGTGCACTGGTTATATTTCAAGAGCTCAACTGCCACCTGTGGCTAACTGCTACCATGTTGGGCAGGACAGAACACCCCATTTGACACCATGGCTCTAGGACTTTTAAAATGTTAACAGTGTCAGGACAAGTGAAACGTCTAATGAACAATCTCCAAAGCAGGTGGTAGAGAAATGATGAAGGGCAGAATATGTTATAACTTCTTCCCACTGAATCTAATGAGTCTTGTTCATAAAAACCCTCCAGGGCAATATGAGCTTCATTTGTGAGAGTGCATATTGGTTATCATGCTTGTAATGCTTTTATTTTGAGCATCCTATAACTTATACCTGCAAAACTTTGGCAGGTGTCTTAGATTGCCTTCTTCTCCTGAAATAACACTTTGGAAGGGAGGAAGCACTCATCACTGAGAGAATGAAGGAGTAATACAGGAGAAGGAAGTCAACACAGGATGTGTTAATGAAGAGTATGTACACTTTATGTACTCTTTTCTGTCGCTGGTTGAGAGCCTGCCTCTTGTAAGGGCCAAGTCTGCCTTCTGGGCCAGGGAATGCCCTTATGCAGAGCCACAAATACATGCAGTAGGAAACATTTAGTCTTGTAACGGAAGAGAGGGTCATCTGCCTGGGGTATCAATGACATCAACTATAGCAGGTTAAAAAAAAGCCTATCAACCATAACACCTATTTGTTTATTACTCTAATTTCTGACTAGTCCCCAAATGATATGGACCAAAAATCTGACTCACGTGAAACCATAAAAATTACAGATTGTCTGAGGTGATTTTAAAAACAGTGGAGTTTCTTACTGGCAACAAGTGGTAGAAATGGTGGAACAAGTGTGGATGTACAGAGGAAAGATACAGCTTTTACAGAGGTCATTCATAAGTTAATTGTTAAATAAAATATAAAATCCCATCACCTCCTTAACTTAGGTCATGACAGCCTTATATATTACTACTGCTGAATCTGAAAAATACATTTTTTCAATATTTACCCTTTTACTCAAAGTATTTCATATATTTCAAAATTTCCAATTGCTCACTCCAATCTACAAACTTTTTTGTTTCCAACAATTATTGACACTTCTGATCAATTTAAGAATGATTGGTCAAATCATATGTCTAAACTTCTTAATCAAATTTCCACTTTTAAATGCATTTTTAAAATTTGCAAAATTTTAGAGTAAACATTACTATTTTCTATAGTTTGCTTACCTCCTTTGAATAAAAATACCCTGTAAATTAAATTCCCCATTAACTTGTAATTTATGCATAAGGTTCTGATATAATCTCTTTCATAATGTACTAGAATAAAAGGACTGTCTATAAACACTTTAATAACTGTTTATGTTTCAAAAGTGATGTCTCCTCCAAAGTGTAAATTAATATCAAACATCTAAATAAATAGTATTTGAATATGTACTGTTTTAATAAATAGATTATATAAAAATTAGGAAATACCTGACTTATTGAGAGTAATGCCAGTTGTATACAGAAAATTATCCACTTTCAAAAACTGTTGTAGAACTGTAAGGTAGCCTGTAACATTGCTAATATGATGGTTGTTGGGTAGTTTAATTAAGGCTTTTGAAAACTGAACACTTGGTTGAGATTTGGCATCTGGAAAAAGGAAATCTCATTAGCAAATAAACAAAACAAATGCACAGTAAGCACAGCACTATTGGTCAGGACATGTTACTCTAAGTGAACCAGTTATTTCTAAAACATTACTAACATCATATAATAATGATTATTTTATATTCAGATCTGAATTAACAAGAAATGCCGCTTTCTTTAACTCAAAGTCCTGCACTCAATATGCCAGCAAATTTGGAAAACTCAGCAGTGGCCACAGGACTGAAAAAGGTCAGCTTTCATTCCAATCCCAAAGAAAGGCAATGCCAAAGAATGTTCAAACTACCACACAATTGCATTCCTCTCACACAATAGCAAAGTAATGCTCAAAATTCTCCAGGCCAGGCTTCAAGAGTACATGAACCATAAACTTCCAGATGTTCAAGCTGGATTTAGAAAAGGCAGAGGAACCAGAGATCAAATTGCCAACATCCGATGGATCATTGAAAAAGCAAGAGAGTTCCAGAAAAACATCTATTTCTGCTTTATTGACTATGCCAAAGCCTTTGACTGTGTGGATCACAATAAACTGTGGAAAATTCTGAAAGAGATGGGAATACCAGACCACCTGACCTGCCTCTTGAGAAACCTGTATGCAGGTCAGGAAGCAACAGTTAGAACTGGACATGGAACAACAGACTGGTTCCAAATAGGAAAAGGAGTACGTCAAGGCTGTATATTGTCACCCTGCTTATTTAACTTATATGCAGAGTACATCATGAGAAACGCTGGGCTGGATGAAGCACAAGCTGGAATCAAGATTGCCGGGAGAAATATCAATAACCTCAGATATGCAGATGACACCACCCTTATGGCAGAAGGTGAAGAACTAAAGAGCCTCTTGATGAAAGTGAAAGAGAAGAGTGACAAAATTGGCTTAACACTCAACATTCAGAAAACTAAGATCACGGCATCTGGTCCCATCACTTCATGGCAAATAGATGGGGAAACAGTGGAAACAGTGAGAGATTTTATTTTTGGGGGCTCCAAAATCACTGCAGATGGTGATTGCAGTCATGAAATTAAAAGACACTTACTCCTTGGAAGAAAAGTTATGACCAACCTAGACAGCATATTAAAAAGCAGAGACATAATTTTGCCAACAAACATCCTTCTAGTCAAGGCTATGGTTTTTCCTGTGGTCATGTATGGATGTGAGAGTTGAGCACTGAAGAATTGATGCTTTGAAACTGTGGTGTTGGGGAAGACTCTTGAGAGTCTCTTGGGCTGCAAGGAGATCAAACCAGTCAATCCTAAAGGAAATCAGTCCTGAATATTCATTGGAAGGACCGATGCTGAAGCTGAAACTCCAATACTTCGGCCACCTGATGTGAAGAACTGACTCACTGAAAAAACCCTGATGTTGGGAAAGATTGAAGGCGGGAGGAGAAGGGGATGACAGAGGGTGAGATGGTTGGATGGCATCACCGACTTGATAGACATGAGTTTGAGCAAGCTCCGGGAGTTGGTGATGGACAGGGATGCCTGGTGTGCTGCAGTCCATGAGCAAAGAGTCGGACATGACTGAGCAACTGAACTTAGATCACACAAGGCACCTTTAGCCTAGAGTCTGCTTGAGCTTGATTCATCTGCCCAGAATTTCTTCACCTTTGAGTTTCACTCTGGAGAACCACACACTGACTCATGTGGCACATTCGGGGTTTCATTTCTGCAACAAGAGTAGAGGTACTGGTGCATGCCAGAATGGGCTGAAAGCAATCAATAGCATCTCGTTATCCTCTTGACCACAGTGATTTGTTGAGTGATGGGACCTGTGCCAACCAGTTAACGAGATGCAATGTGAATTCTGGGCTTCCCAGGCAGCGATAATAGCAAAGAATCCACCTGCCAATGCAGAAGATGCAAGAGAATGGGTTCGATCCTTGGGTTGGGAAGATCCCCTGGAGTAGGAAATGGCAACCCGCTCCAGTATTCTTGCCAGGAGAATCCCATGGACAGAGGAGCCTGGTGGGCTACCAGTCTATGGGATGACAAAGACTAGGACACAACTAAGCATCTGAGCACAGACAATGTGAATTTTGCTTGGATTTCCAGGGGCAAAGACATGCTATTCCCTAGTAGATTTACTGTGAGTGGGTATGTCCAGGAGTTGCAAAAGCCATCCTGTGACCAGAAATGAGAACTCATTTGAAAATAGACACAATAAGGGGTGGAAAGTTGAACAATGGAAAGAGTTTGAAGAGGCCAGTAAGGAGTAAGACTGTCTCAAGATAATGGCCTTTCTCTCCACACATGCAGGTCCTATTTACTTTTTACCCTTCACACACAGTTCTACATCCATCCTGCTGTGCACCACAAAATCAGTGCAAGAGTGAGAGATTCTACTACTCGCTCAGTAAATTCCTCCAAAATTAATCAAGCCCCAGCTTTTTCCAAATGGTAGTATTAGGTTTTCTTTAATACATTAGGACTAAATAGGATAGTTCTAAAAATGAAGAATTTCAAAAACTGTTTTTTACCATGACTCTTGTCTTGGACTCTAAGGTTTTCTGCCTTTACCAGTCATTCCTATTATGCTTTGGTTCTGAACAGATTTCCCAAAAGAAACAAATGAATTATTGTCACTTATAGAGGTTTTACATAATATGCAGTAAGTGTTACAAAATGCTGGAATTTCCCCTAAGGACTAGTTAAGGGAGGTGTGGAGGTAGGTGAGGATGAAAGCTATCATCTTCGAGGTTGCTAAGCAGAGTTGGAAAACACAGTTTGAATCACACCCCAAATCAGGCTTCTTGTATTCCTGCCCTTGGGACATGTGAGTGGGGCAAATCATGTCTGCTCAGCAGATACTTAATTCCCCAGCCTCAGACCTTTCCCTCAAAGGCAGCAAGATTAATGTCAGAGGCAGGAATGAAGGTGACCTGGTCACAGGATGCCCCAAAGGTCTGAGTCCTTTTCCCAATTTCACCAACCACCAAAGCCCAGTAAGAGATGTGATTTGGGAAAAAGTTCAGAGACTCTTTCCAGTATTTCTAAAAGTCAAATGCTCTATTGAGGGTGGCTAAAATGATAAAAGAGAATGATTCCTACTACACACAAAAAATATGTATGCTATAGTTTGCTAGTGAAGTTAAGAATCAGTTCAGATCAACTTATAGTCAATACCAGTCATCCCAGATTAATTTAGATTTTTCCCACCTTATAATCAACATTGATCCATGGGTGAAGTAGTACAGTTATACAATACAGTCACTTTCAAGTGTTTACTTACTAGTTAAGAAGAAGTAAAGTACTTACCAGCTAATTTTCCAGTAATTAAAATAGTGTCTTCAAATAGCCATATATTTGCTTGGTTTTGTGGGAACAATGAAAGTGTAACTGATGAATATACTGTGAAATATAGCACAATTAGAATATTTTATTAGACATGGAGGGAAAACTGGGACAAATACAGTTCTGCTCCAGCAGGCCCTAAAAATGTAGGAAAAACAAACTGTGTGATGGGAAAAGCAATTCAAAACAAAGGAAGAATGACTGTAAAATAGAAAGGGGAAGAAAGGAACATAATTGAGTGAGAAGATTGGGCATCACTACTAAATTTTTTTTAAATTTCATACAATACTTTCTACCAAGGTGACTAATGATGTTCTCTAACCCTATATATATGTATATATGTGTGTATGGTCAAGCTAAATGCTTAAACAACCCTCTGCTCTTTACTCTATACAATCATTACTTATTTCCTTATAGTTTTTAAAACCTTTTTTCTTGCCTTCATGATTTTAGGTTCTTTAAGGGGAGTACATCCATTCTTTTTTAACTTCCCACACAAAGGTTCAATGCTCTTCTTCACAGCGTGGTTCACCAAACAGACTGAGTTGGCAAAGGATGAAACAGTTTAACATACACATGATCCAGAGGCAACTTTTAGTAGTAGGCAGGATGAGGCTGAACCTGTCTACAAGAGTAGGTCTCTGAAATGACTGGTGAGATGAGGAAGTGCAGATCCCTGAAAGATAACAATTCTTTCAAGATGAGAAGCAAGAGGAAGGGATAAAAGACCATCATTTTATAAGCAAGAACAAGTCAGATAAGCTTACCAATCCTGCAAAAGAAAAAGGTTTTGAGGTTTTATCTAAAGTACAAGTTTTCATTGATCTCTCCCCTCCATGTGATGTATTTAAATATCAACAGAAACTATACAATACCCCTAAATCACTTAAGAAAAGATAAAATACACTTGCCTGGGAATACTTTTAATTAGAGCTTACTGTTAAAGGGAATATGAAAAAGAGGATAAAATATAAAAGTATACAAAAATTATGAGTGGATGTAAAACAAATTTTTTTCTTAAATAGAAAAGGAAGACTACCAATGAAAGTAATTTTACTTCAGAAATTATTAATATTTAGACAAGTTGTTGGAGTTCCAAGATTGGAGAGGAGGTGGTAGGATAATAGCTTGGACCTTGAGATGACTGGATCCCACACATGGGTGCTTTCTTAGTCCCAGGTGTTGAAAGGGGCTACTCTGACAGCTTTTTCTATTAAGCTTGAGGAGAATCTTTCTGAATCTCATTAAAATTTGCATTCAGACTTCCTTCGATTTACATAAATGTTTCTGATTTTAAAAGGGATGTACATCTTCTCTGGAAAAGTTGAGAAATACAGAAAAGGAAGAAAATGATAGTCATCACAGTACAATCATACAGAGACAATCACTATTAGTATTTCACTGTAGCTTTTCCTGGATTTTTCCTGTGGTTTAAAAAAGAGGGAGTATGATAGATCGTATACAGAGTATTTTCACCCTGTGTTTTCACTTAAGATAATGTTGTAAGCATTTCTGTCCCTCAGTAGAAACTTTTCATAACATTTTCAAGGTCACGTTTCTTAAAAAGTATCAAGAGTCACTTAAACTGTATAATACTGTAGACTGTTTCCATTTTCACTATTACAGAATATTCGCCTCATTATCCTTGTGCACAAATAACTGTCCACTTTATTTGAACCTGTCTACAAGAGTAGGTCTCTGAAATGACTGGTGAGATGAGGAAGTGCAGATCCCTGAAAGATAACAATTCTTTCAAGATGAGAAGCAAGAGGAAGGGATAAAAGACCATCATTTTATAAGCAAGAACAAGTCAGATAAGCTTACCAATCCTGCAAAAGAAAAAGGTTTTGAGGTTTTATCTAAAGTACAAGTTTTCATTGATCTCTCCCCTCCATGTGATGTATTTAAATATCAACAGAAACTATACAATACCCCTAAATCACTTAAGAAAAGATAAAATACACTTGCCTGGGAATACTTTTAATTAGAGCTTACTGTTAAAGGGAATATGAAAAAGAGGATAAAATATAAAAGTATACAAAAATTATGAGTGGATGTAAAACAAATTTTTTTCTTAAATAGAAAAGGAAGACTACCAATGAAAGTAATTTTACTTCAGAAATTATTAATATTTAGACAAGTTGTTGGAGTTCCAAGATTGGAGAGGAGGTGGTAGGATAATAGCTTGGACCTTGAGATGACTGGATCCCACACATGGGTGCTTTCTTAGTCCCAGGTGTTGAAAGGGGCTACTCTGACAGCTTTTTCTATTAAGCTTGAGGAGAATCTTTCTGAATCTCATTAAAATTTGCATTCAGACTTCCTTCGATTTACATAAATGTTTCTGATTTTAAAAGGGATGTACATCTTCTCTGGAAAAGTTGAGAAATACAGAAAAGGAAGAAAATGATAGTCATCACAGTACAATCATACAGAGACAATCACTATTAGTATTTCACTGTAGCTTTTCCTGGATTTTTCCTGTGGTTTAAAAAAGAGGGAGTATGATAGATCGTATACAGAGTATTTTCACCCTGTGTTTTCACTTAAGATAATGTTGTAAGCATTTCTGTCCCTCAGTAGAAACTTTTCATAACATTTTCAAGGTCACGTTTCTTAAAAAGTATCAAGAGTCACTTAAACTGTATAATACTGTAGACTGTTTCCATTTTCACTATTACAGAATATTCGCCTCATTATCCTTGTGCACAAATAACTGTCCACTTTATTTGTATGTTTGTTTTTAGAAAAGATGTCCAGCAAAGATGAAGATTTCAAAGACTTTGACACACATATTTCAAAATTGTCATCCAGATAATACCGCCAACTTCTCCTCCCACCAGCAGTGTTTGAGGAGGCCCATCCTGTCAATACTGAGTATGTTCACTCCTTAAAAACTTTCCTGAGCTGAAAAATCTAAGAAATGCATGTTTTGGGGGTGTACTTAAATGATTAGAAAGGTAAATATTTTATCACATTCTCTAATTTGTATTTCCTGTTTGAAAACTGCTATGTCATGATTCTGTCCATTTATATTACTTAGGCAGTGCCCTGGTGTCTTTTACTGACATGAATGAATTCTTAGCACATAAAAGATATCATTCCTTATTACTTCACATATTTTTCCTACTTTTTAAAATTATAGTGAAATTTACCTTTTATGACATCATTCATTGCTTTTCAGTTTAAAAAGACCATTCTAAGAAAAGATAGTTTATTATATTAAATACAATTTTCCACATTTGAACTTTTTGAGCAATATATTTTGGAATATGGATTCAAATTAACTTACTGCAAATGGTTAGCAAAATATTCCAATATTACTTACTGAATATTCAGCTTTTTCCTCAATGATTTATAATGGTTCCTTACCATAGATTATATTTTTTATACCTACTAGTATCTGATTTGTATTATAGTACAAATCATAGTAAAATATCACAGTAAATCTGTAGCCATATATTTTAGTTATCTGGAATTTCAAACTGCCTCTAGTAAATCTCTTAAAATTTCATGTATTTTTACACATTTATTCTTCAAGAACTTTTTTGCCAAGTATTTTGCTAATGTATTAAATCTATAAATTAATCTGGGAAGAATTAAAATCTTTACAATATTCAGGGTAAGAAAAATATTTTTCCAGTTATCCGGTGTTTTAGTTGATTTTTTTTTTTAGTTCTATCAGTAACATTTGGTAGTTTTATTCTCCTCTCCACAGTTACTTCACTTTTTTTTTAGGTTTCCCTTCTCATACTGTTCTGAGAAGCATTTATTTTCATTTTTTCTAATTGGCTATCACCTCTGGTATGTAAGAACATCTATTGATTTTTACCAGTGCTCACTTGCAGTTTTCCAGGGATATGATCATAACCACAAATAATGGCTTTGATTCTTCCTAATAGCTCTCCTCTTTTTTATGTTAACATCTTTTAGTTCTGATGAGAACTTCTACTACAATGTAAAATAATATAGATATCTGTATTTAGTTTCTTATCTTAGTAGGATCACCTCTAATATTTCATACTTAGTATGAGTTTCAGATACCTAAGTATATCTCTGTGGTCCTAGTTTTTAAAGAGTTTATCCTTGGTTACGCATGAATGGTGAACTTACAAAATACATTTCAGCACTTGTTGATATTATCACATGCTAGTTCCAATTTGTTCTAATTGTTGTTGTCCAATCACTCAGTCATGTCTGACTCTTTGAGACCCCATGGAATGCAGCANGAGAAGGGAGTGGCAACCCACTCCAGTATTCCTGCCTGGAGAATTCTATGGACAGAGAAACCTGGTGGGCTAAGTCCATGGGGTCACAAAGAGTTGGACACAACTGAGCAACTAACGTTTGACTTTTACTCTCCTCTTTCACTTTCATCAAGAGGCTCTTTAGTTCTTCACTTTCTGCCATAACAGTGGTAACATCTGCACATCTGAGGTTATTGATAGTTCTCCTGGCAATCCTGATTCCAGCTTGTTCTAATAGTATGGATATATAAAATTAATAAAGTCTGATATCTGTATAGTCCTGCAAAGAAGAAAAATCCTACTTGGTCTGGACAATAGGCTATATTTAAATAATGGTGAAATTCTTTTTCATTATTCTGCTTAGGATTTTTACATTTCAAGTTACAGGTAAGATTGATCTATAGAGGGGTGTGTAAGTGAGAAAGAGTATGCACACAAGAGGGCATTTAATTTTGCATTACCTTTGTTAGGTCTCAGGATCAAGGCTGTACTGATTGATTTGGTAGAATGTCCTGTGGTACTTTTCCTTATAGTCTTAGAAGTTACTTTTATCAAGAACATTTTACCCATGATTATTAATTTACCTCATCTAAAAGCAATGATCATTTACATTATCACAAAATTGTTCATTTTATTGGATTTTTAAGATATTTGCCATCAAATTTGTTATCAATAACTTTTATGATTTTTAAAGCTTTTATGTATTTTTGTCAACTATTTTTTTATATTTTTCTAACATATGCCAATATACTTCTATCTTTATTATTTCCTTTTCCCAATAGCTGGTTTCTTCTTTCATTGTTTTTCTCACTTTTGCTGAATGAATAGTTGTACTTAATTTCTATCTTTAAAAAAATTAAATCATTTGAGACCATGAATTTATCTCAACCATATCCCTATACAGATTTTCTACTCATTATTTTGCTAGAATTCTACTCATGTGAATCTTATTAAATTATCTAATTTTTCATTTTCTTTCTCAATCTAATTTTAAATAGCTCAATAATTCAAATGTTTCCAATATGAAACTATAATATCTAAAATTTAAGAAGAACAATAAAATATAAAATTTTTGAAAAGACTGATTACCTAATGGATCGTCCTTCCAATCAGACTTGTAGTCTGGAAACTGTCTGGCCATTTTCCCCCCAATATCCAATAGTTATACTGTTGTAGTTGCTCTGTTGTGCCTAACTCTTTGTGACCCATGGACTGTAGCCCACCAGGCTCCTCTGTCCATGGGATTCTCCAAGCAAGAATACTGGAGTGGGTTGCCATTTCCTTCTCCAAATTAGTGATACTAAGTCCTACCAACTTTTCCCAGCTTTATTGAGGTATAACTGACACCTAACATCATATAACCTTAAGGTGTACAATGGGATGATATGTATATATATTACAAAATCATTACCATAATAAATACTGATTCTTTCTCCAGTATGCCTCTTGTATGCTTACCTCTCCTTTCACCTCCTTTCTTACATCAGGCTAGCCTTACTGTCCCCCAGCACAGCCACAGTTTCATAGCCAGACTCCCTGAATCTATTTTAGCCCTGCTGTTGACCTATTCCCTATGTGCTGTAAACTCAGTTTCTAAACAACTTAAATCCATGTGTTCCAGAATCTACAAGAACGGCTTTATTAGTCATCAGGTAAATCTAAACTGGTCATCTTGCCTTTTGAGAAGGTCCCTTCCTCAACACTTTGGCCCATCCTAATCCTATAGGCATGCCATGCCCCCTACCCTCACACACACCTGCAGACAAGTTTTGTGCCAGAGCAGAGCTGTTTCTCAGGATTCCTTCAGGCCTCTGTAGAAGGAAAAAGGCCTTCATATTTTCTTCAAACTGGCATGCCTTTCTAATCTCCTTATACTGGCTTCACATAGACAGTCATATTTTCAGTTTACCAGAACAAGCGATTCTCAAAGAGTAAAAAATCATTTACATTTAGTGAAGGCAAAACACTATTTAAGTGCTTACTTGGCATTCTTCTGGTCTTCCAAGGTAGAGGTGTCAACACGTAGCCATCTTTGTAAGCAATAATGGTCAAGCTGAGTCCTAACTTGTAGGGTACTCTTATCAACACTGCTCCATTGTTTCTAGTTACTGTGGAATTTGTCTTTGTGTAGTTTACAAACACTTCTACAACTGCTTGACTCAGGTACTGACGACTGATGATGTCATTCACCTGGACTTTCAGCATAAATACAGACACTAGAAGAGACAGAAAATCACAGCACATTAAATCCTAGAAAGCATATGTTACTATACTGTAAAATGTCATTTAAAACATGTGAACAATACAAAACTGCTGAAAAACTTAGAAGATACATACATATGGATGGATAGAAAGGTGTTAAACATGCCAACAAATTCATTCTTCCTGAAACTGAATAAATTGAATATTATTAATAAGGTATAGTATTATAACTATTTTCTCTGCCAGTTAAAAGGGAAAGAAGGGAGAATAGTGAAAAATAGAAAGTGAGAATAATAAATAATGCAAAGACAGCTTCTGGCTTTAGGAAAATTTTTACTTATATATAATTTTTACTTTATTATATGACTAATTTCTAATATTATCAAGTTACATAGATTTAATACTAATAAAATACAGTCAAAGGTCTTAGAATAAAATGCTATTCACCATACCCATTAGTGCATGGATAGCTCTTTTATTTTGTTCTGTTGTCTGGAAAGCAGAGGATGTGTTTTAGTTCCAAATCACAAAATATCAAAACAAAATCTCAGATGGACCTAGAGAATATTATCCTTAGTGAAATAAGTCAGAGAAAGATAAATACTGATCACTTATACATAAAATCTAAAAAATAATACAAGTGAATGTATACCCAAAACAAGCAAACTCACAGACACAGAAAATAAACTTAAGATAACCAAAGGTGAGAGGGAAGCTGGGGGGACAAAGTAGAGGTATGGGATTAACACACTACTATTTATAAAATAGATAAGCAACAAGAATGCGTTGTATTGCACAAGGACTTATAGCCATTACCTTGTAATAACCTATAATGGAATATAATCTACAAATATACTGAATCAGTATGCTGCACTGCTGAAACTAATACTGTAGATCAACTATGTGTGTGTGCTAAGTTGCTTCAGTCATGTCCAACTCTTCGCGACCCCCATGGACAGTAGCCCATCAGGCTCCTCTGTCCATAGGATTCTCCAGGCAAGAATATTGGAGTGAGGTGCCATGCCCTCCTCCAGGAGGTATTCCTGACCCAAGGATCTAATCTGCATCTCTTAAGTCTCCTGCACTGGCAGGTACGTTTACCCCTAGCTCCATCTTAAGTTAAAAAAATTTTTACTAAAATATGAAAAATATTATCAATTAAATATATAGACGATAAATTCAAGAAAAAAGAACTAAGGCTGGCTTCTACTTAAAACCTCCAGCCTTACAGATTTTGACAATGTGTTCGTGGATTTATCATTGATAATATCTGACTACAGAAGAACTTTTACCACCGTGGACATGCCTTTCAGCATCACAACACCTTTGCTAAAAATGTCTTTCTTCTCTTCCACCATAAATGGGCTCTGTAGTCAGTCAAATTCCATCTTTGCCACTCCCTAGACGTGTGGCTTTAGGTAGGCAGTAGCTTACCTAAGTGAGCACACCTCTCAGTCCATTTGCTCATCTGTAAAATCAGGACAGCAGCCACTAATTTGAGCTAATAAAGTAAAATAAGGCAAATAATGTGCTCCATATAGTGTTTAATTGTCAAATCAAATTATAATATTGTTATTTATAACAAAAATTATTACTTCACAATCGGAGACCACTTCACAAACATAAGTACATCACTAAGAAACATCTCATAAGGATTAACTATGCTGCTACGTGTTTGCATAAACCTATATTTAAGAATTTTTATCAAGAACATCATGTCAGGTAAAAAATCCTAGTCAACACTGACTGAATTGCAATATTGCTACAAAACTGTTATCACGCCTTATCTATTCTTTGTTAAAATAATCTAGACTTTAAATTGCTTTTGGACCATAACAAAGGCATTTAGATCAAAACAGAATCGTCAAAAATAGAATCATTAAATTCTTATATAATATTAAAAATAAAAAAGTAACCACACACATACGCTGGTGCCAGATCATGGCTTCAAATTCAAATGGGAATATAACTCTTGGCAAAATAATAAAAGGTTGTAATAAAAAATGGCATGATGAGCTTCTAAACCAAACGTCCTTGTATAGGTCCACCTAGTACAATAAACTATGCGTAGAGGATAAATAGCTGTTGCTCAATCTAAAGTAAATACCCCAGCCACCTGCCCCTAAACCCCTAGGCAAAATTTACTGAGCCACTGGCATAAAGCATCTAACTAATGCAAACTCCAGGAGACAGTGGAGGACAGAGGAGCCTGCAGGCTACAGTCCGTGGATTCCCAAAGAGTTGGACACAACTCAGCGACTGCACAACAACAACGCAGGCCAGACAGTCTGTCAGGCCCTTGAAATGTTGATTAAAGATACACAGAGGCTAACAGCTGCTGGAGCTGAATCATCTCTGGGAGTCTATAAGCTCCCACGCTCTGTGCTTCCCTCTCCTCCCAGAAGAAGGGTTGTTCAGCCCGCCCTGGTGATCTGTGAGCTGTATCAAACTCCCCCGAATCTTGTAGCACGAATTGGGTTCTGTTGCTCGTTTCCAAAGCAAGTACCTTAAATGACATAGGACACAACTGTAAGTACACAGTATTTCATTCTTCAGATGGTCAAGAATCTGCCTGCAATGCAAGAGACCTGGGTTCAATCCCTGGGTCAGGAAGATCCCCAGGAAAAAGGAATGGCTACCCACTCAAATATTCTTACCTGGAGAATTCCATGGACAGAGGAGCATGGCAGACTACAGTCCATGGGGTCACAAAGAGTCAGACATGACTGAGCAACTAACCCTTTCACTTTTTTCACTTTTCACCCTATCTTTCATAAGAGAAAGAAGGAAGGAAAATGTACCAAAATCAGATGAACCATATAAGAGGAATACTGCACACTACTATGGTTTTTCCAGTGGTCATGTATGGATGTGAGAGCTGGGCTATAAACAGGGCTGAGTNTCTGAAACTGGGTTTGATTCACAAAATGCCTTCCAATCCAGAATGGATGATTTTATTTTTTTTCACATGTACTAATAATGTTAATAAATCTGATGAGAAAATGAGTATCAAATTCAGGAAAAAACAACTTGCAAAGGTCAAATCTTTGCTATCAAAATCACAGCCTTACTCTTTGAGATCTCCTATATCTATACCTTAGTTTGCCTGACAGACTTAGGATATAATGTATGCCTGACCAAAACTGTCCTTTCTAGCTCAGATGGGAAAAAATTAGTATTTGTGTAACACATACACACAGCTCTTCCCGAGGCCCAGTACTAGAAACTTTACATACATTGTCCAATTTCGTCCTAATACAAACCTGCAAGACTTTCCCCATTTTACGGCAAGAAAATTGAGGCAAAGAGTGAGCAGCTAATAGAGCACAGGCAGGATTAACAGGTTCATTTTACTTCAAGTTCCATGTGTTTTACTGTACTTTCTCTCTCACCGAAAAGCCTTAGGAATTTGGTTTCCACCATATTTACTAGTTTCTGCTTTCAGAGTCCCTTGGACATCAAAGAGATCAAACCAGTCAATCCTAAAGGAAATCAACCCTGAATACTCACTGAAGGACTGATGCACACAAACTAAAGCTTCAATATTTTGGCCACCTGATGGGAAGAGCCGACTCACTGGAAAAGACACTGATGCTCTCTGAGAAAGACTGAAGGCAGAAGGAGAAGAGGGTGACAGAGGATGAGATGGTTGGATAGCATCACCGATTCAATACACATGAACTTGGGCAAACTTGGGCAAAGACCAGGAGGCCTGGAGTGCTGTAGTGCGTGGGGTTGCAAAGAGTCGGACATGACTTGGCAACTGAACAACGACAAAACATTCACTAGCTTATTTCCTCCCAACCTGAGAAGAAGTCCTCATTTGCCGTCCACCCCCCTCCTTCAGCTTGATTTTTCTGGCTCCAGGATAAGCAGCAGCAAAAAACAGCATTTAAAAAAATAAAAATAAAAACCTAAAAACAAAATCTTGGCTGAAAGCCTAGTTATCAAAATTAAAGAGGCACAAACAACTCTTTTTCTCCCAAATAAAAAGCTATAAAGAATTGTCTGCCATGACTTAAACAACAGGATGCTTCTGACTTCTGTGATGTCAACAGTTGGATCAGGCAAATGGCACTGGCAGCCAGAAGTAATATATAGCCATAATAATCCCCCTCACTAGCTTTTTTCTCCAACAAAAATACTTTGGCATTTAGATTGGGCAGATTGTGTGGTTAAATATATGATTTTCCACCAGAGGTGCTTTTGTCTCCACAATCTACCTACTGTTCTCTATTGTATTTTTCAGCTCTCTATGCCCATATTGTTTTCTCTGTCACTTAATTATAATCATTATGTCTTGCCCACACAATCTTCTTTTCAGTCTGTCAGCACTGGTTTAAAAATGGTTCAATATCAAATGATTTCAACTGCACCCTTAGAAAACATATAATCTAAACATTGAAAGAAACAAGTAAAAATAAAATATACATGCATGAACAAGACACTGAGGTTGCTGGCAAAGATTTAACCATTTAGCACACGATTAGAGGCATTAAGTAATGAGAATCACTAAAATTCAAAAGACTGCTAAATAAGTATAAAGAAATGTTCTTGAAAAAGCCTATTAGAATCAACACGGTATTATGGTTTTGCTATAGGGTATAGATAGGTAAACTCAAAATCCAGAAAGGGCTAAAACAAAAGGTACTGCTAGCCATTTATCTGGCAACATCTGGAGTAGGGTGGGCTGAGAAATTACAACCTCACTTCTTTCCAAGAGAATCTGACATCTTATTATGTTGTTACTATTATGTAGGCTACAAATGTATGTATGGAGAAATTTTATTTTCAGATTTCTCCAGTGCAAAAACTAGCCTACTTCTTTTCAACTATGTATATAAATCATCTACAATAATTTCATTTAATATACATATTTTCTAAGAATATAATGCTAAAAATATACTACGTATATAAAGTTTTTGAAACAGATCACAGATGAAATTTAGTATTTTAACAATGAAGACTTTTAAACTTTGAGGTTTATGCATTCTAAATGAGAACTATTAAAAAA